TATATATATATATATATATATATATATAAGTATAATTTATATATTTAAATTTTCAGTAATCCTTGCTCATAATCATCGTTTGTTGTACCTTATTAATTAACTTTGAACAGTTAAAAAATTATCTTCTGCTTGATTTTATTTACACAAAAAATAAGAATGCCATTTTACCCTTCCATCTGTTAGTGAATGGTGTCTAACATAAATTTTGCTATATGCGTCTTTCTTATCCATATCATAATTGAAAAGAAGATAAAACTAGTATCTTTTGACAAAGTCACAAAAATCTCACAGATAAAGCCAAATCGGTGCTATTAAATTGGCGAACACGCTACGAAATCATATTCGGAATCTCTCGTGGCCTCCTTTATCTTCATCAAGACTCGAGGCTTCGAATAATCCACCGGGATCTCAAAGCCAGCAACATTCTCCTCGACGGAGAGATGAACCCCAAAATCTCAGACTTTGGCATGGCAAGAATTTTTGGTGGAGATGAAACGGAAGTGAATACTAAAAGAGTTGTGGGTACATAGTAAGTATATAAATAAATAACTATATACACTTCGTTTCATGGCATTCGAAGTCAGTCCTCAATGTATACAAACTCATATATCTAATTGTTAACTATGATATTAAATTCCAGCGGATACATGCCGCCAGAATATGCAATGGACGGCGTCTTCTCGATGAAGTCAGATGTATTTAGTTTTGGAGTTTTGGTGCTGGAAATCATTAGTGGAAAGAGGAACAGAGGGGTTTACAGCAGTTCTCCTCACATGAATCTTCTTGGCCACGTAAGGTTTAAGTACTGAATAATTTGATCACTAATAATCATTATTTTGTCTCTTATGTATAATTATGTATAATGTATATATGATGCAGGTATGGAGTCTGTGGAATGAAGAAAATAGCCTGAATATAGTTGATGAAACAATGAACTCTGATTTCTCAGTTGATGAAGTTCTGAAGTGCATAAAAATTGGCTTGTTATGTGTTCAAGAGAGGCCGGAGGATCGGCCACTAATGTCTTGGATAGTTCTGATGCTGGCTGGTGACAGTGGATTGAGATTGCCTGAGCCTAAACAGCCTGGATTTATTTCGAGACTTGCGGTAGATTCTGACTCGTCGTCGAGCAAACAAGATTCAACTACTGTAAATTATGATATATCAGTTTCAATTATTGAAGGAAGATAGACAGACAGACATATAGATAATTTTTTAGGATTTATTTATTTGGTTTCAGGTGTTTGAGGATTCAGAGACAGTTATAGTTGAATATAGGTGCAGTATGCTTTACAATTGTTTTTTATTTTTTTGGCTGTTTGGATTTTTTTCCGGGAGGGATTAATGACTGTTTGGAAGATGAAATGGTTGCTTCTATGAAGGGAATTTCGATAAGAACTATCCTGTCGATTTTGTAAGGAGCCGCTAGATTTATTTTCATTGTTTTCGAGCTTTATAATACAATGGCCTTTTTAGCTCATAATGGCTTACACGCAATGTGCTTCCTTGGGGATTTTTTCTTTTTTTGATGCCTCAATGAATCAGGTGCTATACTTTAGTTATGGAGGGGATCGCAAGAGCAACAAAATTAATATGTTTCATAGGAAGATTTACATGCATACCACTCAATTCAAATATATTTTCATTTTTAAAGTATGTCTCCTTGTTTATGCATGAAAAGATAGATTTAACCTTTGGAGAGGCAAAATAGCGATACTCTTATGTGGTATGAAACTTTTTGTTGGTATAAATGTTAAAAGTGATGTTTAGATGTTAGATATGTAAATAAAGAGGAACTTGATGGTATGCATCAAACAATCCAACTCGTGCATTTTGAGCTCATCTTTCCGCTTCAAGCGATGGAAAATTCATTATGGGCGTAGAATTACGTTTGTGCCCAAGTCTTTATAAGAGCTCTCATTAAATTTGTTTTTTAGTTTGTCTTATTTTAGTTTAGATCCTTTTGTCTAGAGCCGCTCTAAGGCTCCATCTTGTAATACCGACTTTACTTGTTTCTGCTCTCTGTAACAAAAATTGAGCACTGCTCTTGTTTTCCCAAAAAGAGAAAATTTAGTAAATAAGACAAACTAACAAGAAATTCTTTGATTTTTCGGAATAGCAATATCCAAAACCCGACATATTTCAATAGAAGAAAACTGGCACATGTAGGGACCCTCAAAAAGTGCTGCAATGAAACATACCTTTGAAATTAGTAGCTCAAAAATAAAAATCCAAAAAATATAACTTTAAATGAAAAATAAGGTCACAGATGTGTGGCAGTAGGCTTAGAAAAGAGATCCAACACCATATGTTATGCCCAACAATTTGTTGTGATGAGAGCAACAAATGATTAACAACAATAATACAATCTGTTACTTGCTGATGTGAGTCAAATTCATGACAATTCCTACATAATTTGTGCAATTTTTTTTATTATGATGATTTTACATTTTTGGAATATATTTTGAGTATGTTTTGCAGATTACCAGCGTTGAGCATGCTTCAGGAAGTAAAAATAAGAAGTTGGACAGCCTAAGGGCTCAACTTACCTACGCCTAACTCAGGCGTAATTATGTCATCCTTTCTGCAAATAAGAGCAAAAGAATGCGTGTTGAACTGAGCAGTAGTTGTAGTTACGTGGGGTCTCGGCATAGCTACGCTATCTTTTTGCGTACCTATGTCGGATTTCAGCATAACTATGTCGCATATCAGTAAAACCTCATATTGACAAGCTTTCATGTGTAGTTTGTTGTTTTGTATAAGATTATTATATAATTTATTTTCTTATAGCTTCGATATGTAGTTTATTGTCATGTGTTAGGATTATCATGTGATTTGTCTAAATATATGACTCTTATGTCTATGATTTTTATGTGTGATTTGCTTTCATATGAAATTACAAGTGTAATTTTCATATGTAGTCTCCATGTGTAAATAACTTTATGCAGATTTTCATGTGTAGATGTTAAGTCTTCACCAAACTTAAAATTTTTTTCTTCCCCACTGATATCACTTCCAGGCTACATCACACCGGGGGCTCATGCAAGTGCATGTGTCATATCAGTAATATCAGATTTTAGAGTCTGGAATGCTGATCTCATAAGGAATGAAATAATTTTTGTTATGAAAAGTTCTAGACTACGGGTTTTAGTCCTAGCCTAAAAGGTTAAAATGTTAAAGTCTGAAAAGTTAACCTAATATGTTACAACAAACAGTAAATTTAAATCCTACACAACTAATCCTATTTTTAGCAATTTGGATTGAAAGATATCAAATACTTAAGAGGCTCTTCCTTGTAATCAGTTAAGTGAATTACATGGAATATAAAGTTGAAAGTACTAAAAGACTTGTGACAAATAGGAGCAACAATCTTCTTTACCCTCTTATGAGTACATAAAGAAGCTTGGATATAAATGAATTTAATTCCTGAAATCCCATAACTATCCTTTTAAAACATATTTCCCTACCGTTTGCATCTTCCTACAAGACATATCAACCTATAAATGATAGTTTAATGTGACTAACCAATTTGATTCTACCATAGATTCTCTGAAAACTTATGGTTCACAATAAGTTTTAACAGTTTAATTGGCCAGAATGAAAAATAAAATAAGTTATTAAGATTAATCATCACCATTTGAAAATAGATAAATTAAATAGCATTTCACATTCCATTCATCCTGTCAACCAAGAAGCATGTTGAAATCATGAAACAATTGCATTGAACAAAAGACAAATCCACTAATACTTAGTTGCAATAGAAATACGCAAACAAGTAACCATAAATACTTAGCTATTTCTCCTTTAAAATGTCCAAAGATGACTCAAATCAGCTCTCCCACAGATTGACTAACTCATGTCTGGAAGAACCCCACTCCCTCATCACTTATAAGAAGAACCATGTCTCTCCAAATTAAGAAAAATCCCTAAGTAACTATCGAACATCAATCCCTCATCAATCTATAGCCCCCTAGCATCAATCTCACATCAATCTATAGCCCATTAACATTAATCTACAGAATTTATGCAACACAATAATATTTATAAGCTCCAATAATTAGCATCTAAAACTCCCTTTCTCAGGCAAACGATCCCCCACATCTGGCCATCTGAACTGCAGCAACTACCCAAATCACTTGCTGGCGCCTAGGCACCAAGCTCTCGGTTTGTAGTGGAATGATTGAACACTTAAGCGCTCAAGAGTCCGACACCTAATCATTGGTATCACGACGCCTTGACACCCAATGGTTGGTGCCTAATAGCCAACCTCTAGAGTTGTTAAGGTAGAGACAGCGCCTAAGAACCAAGGGCTCGGTGTTTAATGCAAGTGCCACTTTGCACCATCCAGCTACAAGTGCTCTCTTGGTTTCCCCACTTCAATTACTTGTTGTACCAGCAAGATAAACAAAAAAAATACCTTTCTTAAAGTTAAATATCATCAATAGAAATGTATAAACATATTCCTAAATTCTGGTTAACTTTTTCATGCATCACTGATCCCTGATACTGCCTAGATGCAGCAGTATAACAATCACTTTAATTATAGTTTTCACTTATATTTCCTTACTTTGCAACAGTATCAAAACTTGATCCTGAAGAAAATAAGAATTTAACTTTTCAATTTATATATATATTGGGATA